ACTTCGTGGCTTGATAACTATATTCTTTTGGTTCAGTCAGTATATACAAGTGTGATCGTTAAGTCGTTGAAGGCATTTTACAAACGGTTCAGAGATGCGAGCAGCTAATTTGGACAGCTGAGGGCCGAGACAAACTGCCATAAAACACAAATAAATTTACAACAACAGTTAATCCGAAAAACATCATAATTTGGTGTAGTCGATGCGCGACTATATGTATAGAATCTACGTCATTTTGTGAGCATGATTCGGAAATCAGGAGCATAATTTGGGAATTCTGGCATAATTTGGCAAAATTTCGAGGACTGCTAGTAGCATAATATGCCACTTTTAGGAGCACAATCCGCCAAGGCAGACCAGACTCACTCCTACTCAAAAACTTGACACTGCGGCGAAGAATCCAATACTGAAATGATCGTCTTGGCGCAGCTTCCCTTTGTTACAGAAAGCACGCTGTACTCACCATTCTTATAAGTAAGCACAAGACCTTAAATCGGATATGGTTTTCGTGTCGGCTGACTGTGCCTTTGTTTAGCCTCAGTATTTTAAATAAAAAATTTTCACACATTTACAACAATTCCTGAAAAGCTGCCCTATTTCCCAAATGCGCATGCGTACGGACACCTGAGGACACAATTTAAGGACCATACTCAGCCGACTTTGTACTGGCCCAACTGACTGACACTTTCTCTATCACTTCTGCATAAGTCAGTTAATTACCAGTCAGAGGAACTGAACGAGAGATTCAAAGCTGTTGTAAGACGTAAAAAAGACGAAGTACGTACCACACATATGTTCGGCCTACCGGACCTTACATCCTATCTTCAGATAAAAGCTACAAAGGCTTGAGTTGGGTATCACGCCCTTTTCATACCACGCCAGCGGCAAGCTAGGCTGTTGGGAAACGTGAGAAAGGAAGTGAAGGGCCGACAGTCGAGTGTTACAAGTGCCATCATCCCATTGAGCAATCCCTGAGAAAAATCAGTCTCTCTTGCTGGAAACTTTCCTCGTTCCCGCGCACCTGAGAGAGCATGGAAAGGTTTTGGGTTACCATTGAAAGGGTCATAATAATAATAATAATAATAATAATGGCTTTATTCAATATTTCCACCAGGTGGCTCTTCATCTGCTAAAAAAATAACATTTGTAAAGTAAAAATGTAAAAGAGGTAAGATAAGTAAGCATATAAAATATGTACAAATAAAGACCTATTTACAATGGGAAATAAAATGCCATTAAACTTAGAGGTTATCTTTGACCTTTTTTATTAAATACTTAAAAGTCATCTTAGAGAACTGGTTAAAGTCGATACAGTTCCTTATATATTTAGGTAAAGTATTAACGCTTTTAGTGAGCTCGATCATGATAGATGCGTGATATATACTAGTGGGATTTTGAACAAGCTGCATAGCTGCATTAGACCTAAGAGTTCGATTGTGCTTAAATTGCTTCAGTCGCAAGTAACCTAGCCTTTCGTGAGAAAAAATCGCCTTGTGAACAGACTTTAGCAGCTGCCATTCAATGTGTTCTTTAACAAGTAACTAGTTATGGTTTATGAAATCCTCTCTCAGTTTCAACCAGTTTGCCTACAACAAAGCACGCACATGCTGTTTGAATTATTTGGTGGCATTTTACAATGTAATGTGGTAAATTATGATAGACAACACAATTATAATAGAACTTGGAGCTTACTAGGGCCTCAACTAACTGCTTGCGAATATAAAATGGGAGAAATTCCTCAATTTCTTTAGGATTGCAAGAGTGCGATAGCAAGAGGCTGAGACTCGCTTAAGATTTTCTTCCCATTTAAGGTGGTGGTCAATGTGGATTTCACAAAGTTTTGCCGAGGATACACGTTCTAAAGATGTGCTTCCATCTCTTACGGTAGGTCAATATCAGGGTTGTCAAGTTCATGATAGGAAGAAAGTTTACTGAACTCTTTTCCTTTACAGTTAATTCATCAGATTAGGATTTAAGACAAGGTTAAATTGATTCGTTTGTCCAGCATTGTAGTTTGTCTACATTACGTTGCGTTGAGGCAATGCAAGATGTAAGTTCACCAGGCTTCGATGCTTGATATATAGTTGTATCATTAGCGTATTGATGGCAAGCACAACTAGTTTTCCTTACAGATCCGCCACATATATGTTAAAAATGAGTGGATCTATGATTGAGCCTTGTGGAACTACAAACTAAACCCTAACAGATTTTGAATACCGTCATCAAAGTTTTGAATACCGTCACAAAGGTCCACAGAGGTAGTTGACTGTCCATTTAAGTTATGATCATGACCTTGAGAAACCACGAGCATTCATTTTCTCGAGGACAGACCTATATTTTACAGCGTCGAATGCCTTCGAGAAATTTGCTAAGACGAGCAGAGTGTATTCGCTCCGGTTCATTGCTTCCAAAATGTCATCACGTATGCTCAATAAAACAGATGTTGCAGAATGGCCTTTCCTAAATCCAGAAATGCATGTTATCCTCAAGAACATGGCGTTTTTCTAAGATCTCAACGACCTGGTTGTGAACAAGTCTTTCGTAGATTTAAGGCAAAACAGGCAATATAGCGATTGGACGAAGATCATTATTATCCTGAGGGCTATCCACTTTTGGGATTGCAGTTATTTTTGAGCTCGTTTCCAGAATTTAATGAATGAATTAATAATGTCAGTTAAAGGGCTTGCAATATATTCAGCAGCAGTTTATAAGAAATTAGCTGGAATTAGGTCAGGGCCTGTCGATGTGTCAGCAGATCGTAGGAGCTTTAACTCACGCAAAACCTCATGGAATGTAACAGGGTGAAGGTATCATTTCCTGTTAGAGACTCTTTGTAGTGCTTCTATAAAGTCCGAGATCAGAACTTCTTTAGTATCCGATGTTTCAACACCAGCAGTTTTCGTAGCTGTACTTGCAAAATGTTCATTAAGGGCATGGGAATTGGAAGAGGTGCAAGGGTAGACAAGGAAAAAGAAGCGCAGCTCCCGGTTCTCTTTTTGTTCCCAAGTTCGCCTTCGATCCACAATGCAACTGGTTACGAGGTAGACTGGAAACTAAGCTGAGAAAGGTCTGTGATCGAATGGAAGCCAAAGAAAGTTAGTAATAAAATTAGTAATAAAAAACAGGTTGTTGATTACTAGTGAGGGAGTTTGCGTCGGAAAATTCTGAGCTCACGATCAAGTGATGAAAATCTGTACTATTGAATTTGCTCGTCGAGGTCAATCTGTCTTGGTGGTCACGTGATTTGGAAAGTGAGAAGTTCCTCCGTTATGTCACCGAAATGAGTTGTCTGTGCAGGCCTGGCAGAAAGCCGTAGGGTAAATAAGCACATGAAAACGCGCAAAGCGTAGCAAGATCTAGCAAAGATCATTGCTATTGGCTTATGCTTCCAGTGCTTCCGTTACTAGCTGCTACTGGCAGCTATCTGGGCTCTCTTTTAAAATCGATCTGAAGCAGTCCCCTCCCTAGTGGGTGTAAATCACTCCATGCGTCAAAAATCCTGGTATTCTTGCAACTCAGTTACCGGGCATGAGTTACAGCGAAAAACAGTTGTTAAGTGTTATTTCTGCGGAAATTTTTTACTTGGTTTATAAAGAGAAAGCCACGATTATAAACTGAACGATACACGATTTCATTTCAGTGGTAGCAGAAAAAAAACATAAACAAGATGAAAGATAGCTGGGTGTCCAGGGCAGACAGCGTAACAGTGGTTGGTACGCTGGAATTTGCAAACTGGATGACCAGGTTCCGAGAACCGCTTCTACCACGAATTCAACATTTCGACCCGACCTGTAAATAGCCAGGCTGAACTGATTTCTGTCCGTCTACTAGCTGGGGTTTGGAGCGAGTGCTTGTAAACTTGCTCTATCACCTAACAAGGATTTTTCATTTAAAGAAATTGATTGTAATTCTTTCCCTTTCATTAGCACGTTCCTATGATTGGTAAGATTCAATTTGGCGAACGTCTGTGAGCTCCACAAGTTTTTAAATGCAACTTGAACTTTAATTACTACTAAAAGTCTTAACAGAACTCCATTACAGATCGATCACCGACGAAAAAGGGCATAAACTGGTATGCTGAAACTGCTGATATATAAAAAACCTGTTTGTCCAGCTCTTGTCCTGTCATAGAATGTTCTAGAAACATTATGTAATATTCTTATTACTTCGAGCGGTCTTTTCAAGTACATAAACGATACAACAGTCTACGAGATGGTGGAGAAAAAAGGGACTACGTAGTCATGCGCACTCCATCCTCGATGAGGTGCATATCTGCATGGTCTACTAACAACAGGTTCCAACTCCACCCCAGTAAATGCAATGAACTAATTAAGGATAACCTTGGCACGCTCTCCGACAAAACCTGATGACCTTGTAGAAATCGATGGTTGTAAGACTGAAACAATACAGACAATTAAGTTATTAGGCTTTTATCAGTCTCATGTAACAGAAATGACAAAAAAAGCTGCCAAAAGCTTTTTTTTAGTGCAACTAAAGCGTGCAGAAGTAGCTAGAAGTACCACCTGAAGAACTGGTTCAGTTCTATAAAGCTTGCATCCCGTCTGGTTTAATCAATGGCTGCCACGTTTTTCATTTTAGTCTTCCACAATTCAGTATCTAAGCTTAACTTTTGAACGGATACAGAAACGTGCTCTGAGCGCAAAATGCCGCTTTTGCCTCGCTTGGCTCATAACAGACAGTCATATTACTCAGCGTAAACCTGTCTGTTCCAGCACGAGTACTCCTTCCTCAACAATTTCCGCTAGTTTTTTTTTCTTTTTCTACCAAAAACGACAGTTTTACCATGTAACCCAAGATATTGCTCAAATATTTGATGAACGGATAATAGAACCGGTATGGAGAGCAGCAAATTAAAAAAATAGAGCTCTGGCTCTACAAACAATCTTTTTTAATGCAATTTCTGCTGCTTGTTTTCTGATGTTTGCTTGACACACTTCGCGTTATCTGTACAACTTGGCATTTCATTCTCATGCAGTATCCCTTGATATCATGCCAGGACAAGGAACCCTGTTTATGCCCATGCAGTTGTAATTTTACGTTCACTTAAAAACTGAGTGGCTGTATGCATGGAGCAGGGAGGAGGATCCTAACACCAAGAACATCCAAGAAGGCGGATCATCTTCGCGCCACGTTTTCTGTATTCCGTTTACATGCATGTACTTGTCCCTTGTACTAAGATCTACCTACCAAAGTGGTAGGTAGGTGCTAGTGCTAGAAAGATCCTAGCACCATGTAGACCATGTAAACTTCCTTCGCTAGGAAGATCCTAGTACGAGAGTCAAACAAGACAAAAATTACAACGGATCGTTCAGTGGCTAATCACTGCAACAAAGGCCGACTATTTCTATCATTTGGCGTTACTACGAGCTGATTATAGCAATAATTCTGCTGAAAGGTAATTATTAAAGTCAGAAAAGAGAGCCGAAGGGCCCATTTTTGATTCCTCGCTAATCCTTCTGATCTCTACTTGGGCACCACAAGGACCGAAATTTCTGCATGTAAACCCAGCGAAACGTTGTTCTGCCTTAGCTACTGAGATCTTCCTCGCTCCATGTAAACAGCCCCTGGACATACTCGCATAAAAGGTTTCCTTTGCCAGGTATCTTCCAGCTCTTGTATGTGGCATTTCCGTGCATATGTGATCAAAAGATACGATAACTGCAGGACTCTTTGCTCTAACCTCGAACGCACCCTATCTACGATTACCGCGCAATTAGTACATGAACTGAGGTGAAAGGATTGACAAGGTGAAAGAAGAATGTTTCGGCCAGAAGTCCGGGTTAGAGAATTTAAGTCGCTTATGGAGGATTTTGGTCAGTAACAAATGTAAGGTTCCAGTGTATATATATTAGTCTTTTTCGTATCCTTCAATAATTGGCGCAGCAAAATGCCTAGACCAGTGTTCCTTGATGAGCTCATTCGATGGACGCGTTTCAAGAAATACACTTTGTTTTTCACCAGCGTGAATATATCCCCAGACTCCTCTCAGTCGCGCAGGAATTTCAACTCCTTTGAGCTCCTTGGCAGCTACCCGAACAAGAAGAAGTTTAGGTAGCAAACTGCAATCTGAAAATCTCAAAGAGTCCCCTTCCATGAAAGCACCATTCGTACTTTTTAGAAGCGAATCCAACGCTTCCATTTTCCTTAACAGCGCTGCCTTCATCCCAGCTTCTTTAGAAGGATCTTGGTTTTTTATCAAGGCACAGAATTTTTGGAAAATATCACTGCCCGCAACAATAGCTTCCTTGCTCTTGCTCCTGATGGGCGGATCCGGATATAACTCTTCCAAATACTTAGCGATAAGAGGGGGATCGTCTAAAACAAGAGCTTCGTCCTCATTGACTTGATGCACAAGAACTGGGACTTTACCAGTGGAGTTGATTTCAAGGAATTTTTTCGATTTCTTTTGAATGTTAAAAGGCATGATCAATGGTTCGATATTCTTCAACTTGCAGAGCATTCGGACCTGATGGGTCAGCGGACAAGCTGCGATCGAAGATTCATCTGAAGCCGCCTATGAAAGTAAAAAAGCTTGAATTAGCTGCCAGTTCAGCATACTCATATTACACATGCACCAACCTTTTTCCAGGGTTCTCTCTTCTTCACGTTCCCGCTCTCACCGATAGAGTCTCTGATAGGGTCTGAGGATCACGTGTCTCCCATTCGCCTCTAAAGAAACCCTTATGCGGCTTGTGTCCCGCAAGTGTTTCTGGGATGGTTACTGGGGACGCACTGGTCACCTTTTGGCAATTACATCCCCGTGTCCCTAGTAACGCTCCCAGAAGTCTTTGCGAACGTTAACTCGGTCCAGTTTCTTTCAGGAAGAAGAGAGACCCTGGGAACAATTAAGGTTACAATTTCATCCATGCCCCATATCTGCCCCATAATGAATCATGTTTTCTTGGTAACCCGTTGAGAACGGTGGCGCGGCTCATGCCCCTAAATAGTTTCATTCGATTTCAACAGAGATGCTATATATCTTGCAACATTATCTATTTAACTTAATTATTATAATTCAACTAAATTATTGCAATTAAAATGATATAAAATTTTGCCAGTGTTGTCTTCGATGTGAGCATCATATGCTCATTTCTGTTCGAAAGGCTTGTATGTCAGACTTGCTCAAATGTTCAAGTTCTTTTCATGATCATCCTCCTTAGGGCACTATAGCGTCGAAGAGGCTAATAACTCGTATCACTAGCTGCCGAACCAGCACCATGACTGCCGCAACTACCTGATTCTATATTGTTCAAAAACCTTCCTCTGACATCTCAGCTCACTCCCTATTGCAAAATATAGCTTTGCCGAGCACCAATTTCACTTTTTAAGTTCTCGATTTCAGAAATGCTTAGAATATGTACGGCCAGGTAATCACATGAGTTCTATCTAGCTACAATATCACATCATTCTACCCAACAAAACTAGTAGCGAAGAAACAACTAGTGGCAAATTCAAACAACTATTACGTTAACCGTGGACAAACTGTTCTCAATGAGAGTTGATAGTATCTCAGTCTTTGTCTCATGCGTCCCAGCTTCATGGAATAAACGGTTTCATAATTGCTTCAGCAAATCTATTTCAACAGCAATGTTTACCTACCCTTACTAGTAGAAAATATCCTGATGTTAGCTCAGATCGTGAACCGTTGGACATTTCGCAGAACTACTCGTTGGGAATTAGATTCAAATTGTACTTTGTTCAGTACGTTTGGGAAACTTTTGCGAGAGAGAAAATATTATTGCGAGCCGGGGCAACAAATTTCCAACAGAGCAATTGGCGCAATTCAGTGATCAGTCCAATCTTTTGTGGGCTTTTTTCATGCATCAGTGAAACACAATTGGTTGTACTGCACCAAAACAATCACCAGCAGGTAGAACTTTCGTGAAACAACGAGCTCATGCACAAGATAACCCCGCATAATACAGAAAACAACTTTCTTACGACCATTTTGATACACAGTAAATTCCAAGAAGCATTAAATGTCAATAACTGGACTGTTTTTGTTCTTATGGTGAGCTGTAACTGATTGCTTGACATATTGTTTTAATGTCGTTTTGTTTTATTCCATGACAAACCATGCTGAACGAAATCGTGTACTATTTTTGCAATAGCATTGTGTGTTTAAGTATGCAACGTCGTGTGTGTGGAATGCGTAAAAACAATTGATCCAAAACAAAGTAGATAAGCCTAGAATTGATAAAAGATAGTTTTCTTCCTACACAGTAATTAAGCAAATGCCGACATGACGTCTGTAAGTATTGTAAAGGGCAAAATAGAATAGAAATTAAAACTATGAGAACAATTAAAGCCAAATTTAAGCCAATATATAATTTTTGAAGCTGCACCATTAAAAAGCATCCTGTTCTCGACTCTGTTTATTTTTCTGTTATCCTTGTTTGTAAATGTAACTATAGGAACAAGTTGCCTAGGTGCGTCAGAACCTAACATCACGTGACTCACTCAGGGGAGAGGGCTCAGGGAGGACATGAACAAGTACGGTAATAGCCCACCCTGTCTTTCCACTACGTAAACCTCAGTCAGATAGATGCAACTTTTCATCCATTTTCTTCAATTAGGGCGATTGAACTAACATTGTCATCTTTAGTTTTGGGCATTCCCTTCTTATAATTTCTACCGCAAACCCTTCTTTTACGCTGACATTTGGCTCTGTAGTATTGTTCTCCTTTGAGGTAAGAGAACTCGGTTTCCGTAGGAAAAAACTCATAACTGACCCGTGAAACAAGACTTTAAACCACAGAAACGCAAAGGTTATTCAGTTCTCAGTTACGCAGACTTATGTAAGATTGCTAAGTCAACTTTATTTGGTCAACATAACTTATAAACAGACTTCTGACAAAATTATATCTCAGCTTCTTTATACAAAAAGTGAATTGCCTTCCCAGCGAATATTCCATTCGTTGCACTTCTATGCTCTAGACTACTAATCGACGATGAATGCGTGAAACTACCTTACATCAAAAGAATGTGATTACTGTCTTGTTATTTTTCTTGCTATGCAGCAAAAGTGTACATTTTGGTACTAAAAAAAGCATCCAAAGAAGGCTGGAATTCACCAGGTTTTTGTGTATCTGTCATCGTTTCTTTCATTATTCTGGTTATACGTTCCAAGTGTGAGGGAAAATATGCGTATGCATTTTATGTTGAAATGTTCTTTAGGTATTTAATTTGTTTCTGTTCCATTTCAAAACCACTTGTGTTTTAATCTAAATTAATTATGGTCGGCTACACAGGATAACTACTGCAGTATGCCCAGAAAGGCATAAATGACTCGTTGAAGTTCTTCTACCAGAAATTACTGTAAGAGAGCAAACAAAGTCTGAAACAGAATTAACTTAACGAGTAACGATTTCTAAGAAAATCAATAAATGATTGAGGTATTTTTTAACTCTGTGTTATCTGTTTACATTCATACTGAAACCAGTTATTATCTGGAAGTGTTCCAGAGCGCCTCCACGTTAAACACACCACAGTCTACGATGACGCAGGGAGATTTCGGTCTTTCGTTAAAAGTTTCCTGCGCTTCGAGAATGTCGAGAACTCGAGCACCTTCTATAACTTGCCTGCAAAATAAAAAAGTAAGTAAATAAACAATAGAAATACATGTAACGTTATATAACAAAGCATCACCTTTATTTAAACCTCGGATTAATAGCGTAGCTGTAAAAGCCAATATCTCCGAGATAGAAAGAGAGAGAGAATAAAAAATAACTGCGTAAAGGTTTGAGGGAGTCCATGTATGTTACAGAGTAGTAGTATATTTATTCCTCCACATCGATCCACAGAATAAACAAGTTTACAGGGAAAAAAATTACGAAATCAAGAGAAAAGAGGCAAAAATATTAAACGTAATAACTTGCCCTTATAGTTGAAAAAATAAGGAGGATTCTCAATTAATTGGATAGGTGGTTCCTGCAGGGACGGAGCTACATTGGAACCTCAAATGAATATAATGAAGTGCCAAGAGGCTGGCAAAATCTGTTCACTATAACGAGGCTTCGTTATATCGAGGTTCTTTTACATATACTTTGCCATTACTGGGGCTAAAAAAGTAGTTCGTTATACCGACGAAAGAGGTTCGTTATGGAGTGTTTTCACATGACGTCACGGCGGCCATATTGGTGTCCCAAAACAATGAAGCGGCGGCCATGTTGGTGTCCCAAACCAGTCCTCTGGGAGTTGAACTCTTTTCTTATGCAAAGGCTTTCTTTTGTTCCAATAAATTTGCATATATGCTGGCCACGTGAGTGAAAACACTCTTATAGAGTTTCTACTGTAAAAAGCAAGCGGCCATCTTTCCTGTCCGCTGACCGGCTTTACGGGTCTTTTATTCATTTTGTTTGTTGTATGTGTCATGTAACTTACCCAAAGGCAACATATTTGGTGTCCATCCATGGTGCGGGCTGTAGCGTGATAAAAAATTGAGAGCCATTTGTATGTCGGCCCCTGTTAGCCATACCAACGATCCCTCTCTTGTCATGCGCAATGGAAAAGTCTTCATCTGAGATGGAAGAAAAGATGAACTCTAAAGAACTACAGTATAGTGGATGGTTCTTTAAAAAAAAACGAAAACAATTTGGCTGCACTTCTCATCGCAGTTAAGTTGCACTGGGTTGCATGTGGACAAAACTGTCTCAATTTACATGTAACAAAGTAGAAAGACAAACCAACATTAACAAATTGCTTGAAAAATTTTAAAAAATAGCATAAAACTGTAAAAATCGAAATACAATTAAAAACAAACTAACAGAAAAACCGATCGATACCTTCTGACTGCGAGTAGGGTAGGCACCAACATATAGCCTCGTAGTAGCTCAACCAGTCAGAACGCAGCATTGATAATAGACCACTAGGTGGAGTTTACTAAAGTAGGATACCCATATACCCGAATACCCGACACCCATGGCCGAGCCTGACTTTTTGAGGTACTCATGAATTTAAAAAGTGTTTTTTGAAGCATTATACCTTCAAAGAAGGAACCAAAAATCGACTCTCCACCAGTGCCTTTTCCACCTTCAATATCTGCGAACACCAAACACAACTATATTCAGTTCAAACGACTTCAGTTTAGTGTCCCACACAGCTTTATACTCTGAGTACCACTTAGCTACGGGTTTCCGCTGGAGTTATTGCGCAAAAGTTGGAGAGAAAGTGCGAAAGAAAAATGGAAAAGGGGGGAGTGTGAGGGCAGAAGAGGTTTCTTTTCTCCTCCCATTCCTTCATCAACCCTTATTTTCGCTCTCGTTACAACTTTTTCAATAAAAACGCGCGGAAACGCTTGCTACTCAGGCTAGATGCTACCTTACACAGAAACAGGTGCTCTTCACAAAGATGGGTCAAAAGAATGGGGAGATATTCTCGCGCTTCCGAACAATTTATCCCTTGAAAATTTGGCAGCTGCGCAAACGTTGTCCCCCATAATCAAAATTCTTGAAAAAAAGTAAACTCTAATTACCAGTCTGAAATAACTTTTTGTAAGCAACATGTGGCATACTTTGTTTATTGAAATGAATTCATTTTTAGGTCGCCTACTTTGTTTAGAGTCATTCTCCGCTGTCAGTACATTTTGGGTGGTTACTCCTTGGGAGTACTTCCTTATTTTACTGGTCTAAACGGTTTAAACGGGCAGGTGCCGCCGAACAGGGTATAGTTTTCAGGGTCTTTGAGTCTTCAACAGAGTATGCAGTTGGCGTCTTGAACAAACAGGGTGTCTTTTTGGACTGGAATTTCTTGAAAAGAGTGTGAAAGTTGGCGATATTTTGAGATACCCAACAATTTTGTTTTTGTAAAAAATCTTATTCCATGATGCTAGTTGAAAAACCACTTAAATAATTCTAAACACAGGGTGCAAAGAAAGTCATTTTTAAAACTTGCCATTCGGGCAAGCCGAAGCTAGCATATACTAGCCCAAACGTCATTTCAACCAGCCCCCAAAACATTCTGATGAGCAGGAATTGATTTCACAGTTCTTCTGTAATTTGATTTTCTCAAAAAACTTCACTTGCCCATTGGGCAAGTTAAGAACAGAATTCACTAGCCCGATAGCGAAATCCACTAGCCCTGGGCTATCAGACACTTAACTTTCTTTGCACGCTGATACACATGTATGTAAAACAAAACAAATCTGGGGTGACTCCTCGTCTTAACAGGGTAGCAAAATGAGCAATTTTTTTGTCTTAAACAAGGTCAGGGTTTAAAGGCCTTGCCAGCACACCTCTACGCAAACTTCCCTTGAGTACCCCCACTCCCCTGCCAGGGGTTGCAGGGGAGGTTAGTCATGGCTGCTGCAAGGACTGAAAGTACAATCCATCCTATCATGTGTTTATTTACTACAAGTTACAGTTACACAGTGATTTTGTTACAAATAGTTATGGTGAGTCCTGGGACTCATCTTGTGAACAAATCATGAGTCCTAGTCCAGAAGCAATGAGTCCCAGTTAAAGAAACAACGAATCCACAATTGGAAATGCTCGGGCCTTTATGTGCCCAGACAAATAAAAGAGATTCTGTTGTAAAGCACAACCAACACTCAAAGAAATGTGCGTTTTTAAACAACAACCACAAGAATGGCCACAGAAATCACAGGAACAATATATTCTACAAAAACATCTTCAGATCAATTGATCGATCAATCTTTGTGTCCTACGGGACCCATGCTATGAACTTTTGTGTGTCTTTGGAGCTTTTGTGCATCAAGGACGCAGGATGCAGAGGCAAAAAAATCACTGGTTACAGTACGTACCTCCACCCTGTATCCATCCATTAGGAACAATCCTGTGAAATATAGAGTTCTTGAACCACAGCTTCAAAGGAGGATCATGTCTTTCTCTTTCACTAAAATTCCCTAAACAAAGCTCTTGGAAATTCTGACATGTCCTTGGTAATCTGTCTGAAAAGAGCTGAAAAAGATTTAAGCATTGGATTTAATTAAGGACACTGATTTTTTTATCATTTTATATTTAACCTCAATGCAAGTGTTGTCTTTTGTCACAAGCATGATTTAGACAAAACTTAACCAAAACGATTACAAGGTATTAGATCCGGTTCAAACTCTTTTGATCTCCTCAAATTTCATGACTTTCCATGACTTTTTCCAAGAATTTTGCAAGTTTAGCTATATCACATTCAAATATTTAAAAAACTTTCATTGTTTTAGGGTATTTTTTTACCTTACCACAAACTCCAGTGTTCACCAGCAGTAATTAAATTCCACGACTTTCCAGGTTTTCCATGACCCATACAAACCCTGTACATTAGCATTGAAAATTAATGAATAAACTATTTTGTGGTATTGATTTACCTCTATCAACAATCTTCCAATCTGTTCCTGGTTCACTGCTACATCCAGGTACACAAACTGATGCTGAAATGACAAACAAACAAACAAACAAACAAATATCAGAGAATACAGGTGGAGATTGTTGGAAGAACATTATATCTTTTTCTGGTGTTAAATGTGACAAAGAAAATAAATTCAAGCGAAAAGTTATTATTCTGTCTGCACAGTATGATCAGTCTAGCTGGTTGGGGAAATTTTAGAGACAACAGGCTGAATTCATGCTTGCACCTTTTTTTTCTCAGTTTTTATCAATTATTTTAATTTTTTGGTATGTTACATACATGACATTTATAGCTTCAATCTTATATTCCTACTATTACACTTTTCTTCATGCTGAGATTGTGTCATCCTGTTAAATAAAGAATAGCACTTGGACCAATTTAGGTTTCTGGGAAACTGCCCACCTACCCCTCCCCTATTACTTCTCACTTAGAACAAAATGATGGCTTAGGGGAGGGGTAGACAGCTAAATTGATCCTAGCACTTTTCACCCTTTTTTGTGCCACAACTCCAGAGTGTCTTTAACGCTTTTCATATCTGGCAGGGAGGAAGTCCTTACTCTCAGCTTTTACGTGTAGCCAAGGGTGCAGTTGATGGTATTAGGATTTGCATCACATGAAAGACTGAATCATTTGTCCATAAACTATTCACTCTCAAAATGTCTTTTTGAACAGAATTTGGAAACTCAATGAAAACCCTCTTTGGTTTAATTCAATTGTCACAAGGTCTGCTGCGTAGTTAGCTGAATTGGATATAAGTGCCGGTCAGCCGAGAGAGAAGCCACTAGTTCAAACCCTGGCCAGACCAACACTTAAGGTCTTAAATAAAAGATAGGAGGAGAAAGTGCTGCCTCTGTATTCTGCAAACTGTTAGGCCTTAGATCTAGTCTTCTTAGATACATTGTAAGGACGATAAACCAAAGGCCCCATCTCACATTAGCCTTGCACGTATAAAAATTCTGTTGGAATGTTAAAGAACCCACACCCTGTTCTTAAAGAGTAGGGGACTTATAGTTCCCAGTATTGTGGGCTGTCTCTTGTGGAGAGAAGGAATGGTAAGGGCCCTAAGTAACTGATGCAGTGTCTTGGGCGGCAACTGGTGAACCTATGGTAAATAAATGTAGAAACTGATGTATGATGCAGAACTAGGGACATGCTCGGCCTGTATAGCAAAGACTTTGAAGTACCTTTGTTTCTAGGAGGTAGTTCTTGTATGCTTCATTCCTTACAGCATGCCATAGTGGAAGAGGCCTAAAAAAGCAAATTATTTTTTGTAAAAATAACAAGCATGCATTGTAAATAAATGCACTGTTATGCCAAGCTTTGTGTTTTATGATATGTTTATTTTCATTCCCAGGGTGCACAATGACAGTTCATCATGCCTAGGAAAGAGGATGAATCAGTCTCTGTCTGACTGACTAGAAATTTATGTTCTAGCCTAATTCTTGCTTTTCAGTGAAATTTCAACTTTTTTTTTTTGGGGGGTGGGTCGGGGGCCAGGGAAGGGGGTAATAGTTATTAAGCAGATACAAATATTATTTTGGCATGACATGTACGTGGCAGGCGTTTGTAAGGGAGCTAGGAGGGGGAAGGGGGTTGTGACGTAGAATGAAGGAATAGGGGAATAATTAACCTGGAAGGCATCTGTTTCTTTTGCACAGCCATCTCAGTTTATCATTTTCAATCAACAGCAGCTGCATTAAACTTCAAAAATTAAGATGCATCTTATTATTTTGTTCTTATGTAAATGGCACAGTTGTGTCAGTAGTTGCCACCAGATACCAGTTGCTCAATCTATAGCTTTGGTAAGTCTGATTTACCCTTGCCTCCATGGAATAAAAAATCTAATTTCCAAGTTGCCTGCTTTACGACAATAAACTTTTGTCATGCCAAGTTCTTTGCTCTGTGACTTTGGAATAGTAGCTTATTGTTATCCTGTATTATTGTTATGTACTACAAAGAAATTTACATTTTATCATCTAATAAAATGGACTAACTAATTAAAACAGGTTGTTATTAAAGCTCACAAATGAATCTGATCAATAACACTGGGATCAGACCTGAAGTCTCTGTATGCATAATTCTCTGATGCCCATTTTAAAAATTCCTCATGACCACCAATCAGCTCATCATCCAGAAAAGTAATAACATTTTCCTTGAAACCCCATACTTCTCTTCTTATTTCCTGACAAACAGTACAAAAAAGAATATATTTTGGTGAATTAAACTTTACATACAGTACTCAGCGGTAAATTACTGTACTATAATATGTACTTTGAGGCAATAAATTGTAAGCAGCTGAACTGTAGGGATTTTACTACAAGCCAAAATAACAATGAGGTCCCTTAGTCCTAAAAAAGCTAAAACGAAATTTATAGACAAAATAAATTTTAAACAATGTTTTTCTTGGCAGACGTCTCACGAGAATTTGGATTGCATGAAACCTTTTCTTTCCCATTTAAACAGTCTTTTTTAAGGATCAAGATTTGTTGATGTTAATTTCTCTAATGCTCCACCATCAACCGGTTAAAAAATAAAAACAATTACATAAAGCTTGAGCAGTTATGACAGTTATGATTAAAAAAAAATGATGTATAGCTAAAGCTTATATTCTACAAGCGCCCAGACGCCTAAAACTTTATCTTTTTTACCAAGTTAGTTTAAAGTTTCAACGGGGCAAAAAATATGAAGATGCCTACCTTCTTTTTCTCCCGAATAAAGGCATCCCACTCGCACTCTAGCAAACCAAGTACGTAGGGATCGGTAAAAACCTCGGCATCTTTCTGACAAATTTTCTGATATAATACACATCAGTCAGAAAAAGGTATTCAAAAACTACTTTTCCTTTCCATTTAGAACACCACGTTTACGTTAAATGTTAATATTACCTCAGCAGCCCCTTTGATTATGTGAAATTCCACATCTTTGAGCAGACCGATCACCGAGATTGTATGTTTGTCCGCCATCTTTGTATCCAAAGATTCCCGGGGTTTAAGTTGTCATGGGAACGGTGATTCGCTCATGCGTTCACCTTCGTGAGTCCAAAGTTTATAACGCTCGTGCCTCACGCCACCTACGGCCTCCGACGGGCCACCGATGAAGACTTATAAATATCAGAATTCTCACTGCCGGACCATTGTCAGAGACCAGGAAATGACTAAGATTCGTTCTCGGGTTAACAGACTTAAACTAGATAGGGTTCTTGTACCTCTTGTGCCAAACTAAACGTGACCATCACGTGACACCACAGGTGCCCACAATTAGCGAACCACAAACAGCTGACAAACACAGAGAAAAAAAAGACGTCACACCAACTCGAACTCTGACACCAACCGTAAAATAATATAAAATAATGATATAAAATTAAATAAAAATAACAATGTAACTATTTCTTAAGAAAAGCTGATAAATTAGATTTAAACTGACTCCAATGAAGTTGATGATCCAATGGCCTCAGGGATGCAGTTCCAGACAGCTATACTTGGAAAATACGAAAATTTAAACACGTCCTTATTTGCATATGGTACTCGAAGGTATGTGATGGCTTCCCCTCGTGTAGCCTGTTCCAGGCTCCGAGATAGTGTGAAAAGTCGTTCAGTAAAAAGAAATGCGAAAAACGCGCGGGGGCTGGGGAGAGACAGGGCCATTTTTCTCGCCGCCACCGCCCCCTTTCCCAAGTCGCGCCCGTCCTTTTTTCGCTTTGCTCGTTTTAATACTTCCGCACTATACCATCGGAGAGCCTGGCACAGGTTACCCCTCGTGCGACTCTCAGAGTGTTGAATTAAATATTTTCGGCTATCTATATCAATAAGACCAATGAGTTAGTTTATACATAATTAACCTAAACTAAGAACGACAAGTCCAAAGACTACTGCAAAGCTGATTTAAAATAACGTGTATTGTTTTTTATAACAATATTTCGGCTGGCCATACCAGCCTTCTTCAGGTTTACAGATGTTACCGAACAATACACGTTGTTTTAAATCAGCTTTGCATTAGTCTTTGGACTTCTCGTTCTTGGTTTTTATATTTTGGCTGATTTGATCTCTTTTCTAGAGATCCAACGTTTACAACTAGCAGGACCTTCGTCCACGGTTTTTGCAGTTAATTTAATCCTTAACCTAAACTGTCTTCTTCTCATTTCCAGCGTATCCCACCCTAACATAACACTCGCATATCTATTATAATTCTGCGAGCAGAACCGTGCTGCTTTGCCTTGAACCCTTTCCAGTGCACTGATATCTTTCTTTAAAAACGGGTCCCAAGCCGCACTTGCGTATTCTAGTTTTGGCCGTGCCAGGGATGTATATGCTATTTCTCTCACATTCCTGGGATAATTCCAAAGGTTCATCGCATTATTCACAACGATTTGCTTACTTTAGCCGCTGTCATGGAAACATGGGCTGACCACCTGAGCTTGATACTGATCGGTAACACCAAAGTATGGGAAACTACCAAACTGTTCCAACTCTACACCACAGACGACATATTTTCTCTGGGGTGGATTGTTCTTATGTGAGATGGTAACAATTTTGCATTTGGAAGGATTAAACTCCACTTGCCAATGATACAACCTGGATTCAAGCCAGCGTAGGCCACATTGAAGAAGGTTACGGTCCGCATCGCTTGCGACAATGCTATAAAGTAGGGCATCGGCGTCCGCTAAAAGCCTAACTAATGATTGCACGTTGTCTGTTAAGTCGTGTATATACATAATAAGAAGAGCAATGGGCCGAGGACTGTACCTTGGGGTACGCCAGAAGTCACCGGACATTGACTTGATCTTAGGCCTTGACAAACAACTGTTAGTTGTTAGCTGCAACAAGTTAGTTGTCTGAATCATAATTACCACGAAAAGAAATCAACCAATTAAAAAACTTACGGACGTAACGTTTTGAACCCGTTGAAGAAAACAAAACCTATGTTTCCTGAGAGATCCGTCAGAGTGTTGACGGAAGCGAAAAATGGAAACGTCAGTTATATTTTTGACTTGAAGTCGCATGTTATTGCAAAGCGCGGCAATGGTAGCGAAGAAATTGCTGGTAGATGAAAAAATTACAGCTTGTGTCAAAGACATATGTATAGTTTTGAATAGAAAAACATTGTCTGGTTCGATCGAGTCTGGTGAAACATTTTGCGTTCTTAAAAATATCTAAATTTTGCGCTTTGAATAACTTATTAGGGCCATTTATAAGAGGAAAAATAAGACTCGTCTTAAATAAGACGCGAACTTTTCGTATAAATGGCACATTTCGTCTAAAATAAGACGCGTCTTATTTTAGCCCTTAACACCTGTTCTTAGATAAGACGCGTCTTAGATAAGACGAGAAAAACTTCGTATAAATGATCTTCCCGTCTTACATAAGACGGGAACCCATAGTACGCATGCGTTAATTTTTGGCGCGCCACGTTGGATTGCCGTTGCTACGGGCAACATTCACATGAAAACGAGTCAAGAACAGAAATAAGACGCGAACGATAGTAGTACATATGGCTACTTGGGGTCCTAACCAATCAGAGCGCAGCAAATTTCGTCTCGACCAATCAGAATCGCGCATTTGGCCCATGTGACTTTTTGACGTCACAACCCATTGTTTTAACCCACGTGACCTCTAGGAATAAAGAACACACGCACACAAGAGTTGAATCTACATGCTTAGCATAGTTTTATTGAGAAGAGCGCCTAGTAGTTGAACGCATGCGCAATGGGGTCCAAGCGTTTACCCTGCGCAGTCACGTGAATGAGATCGTAGGCACATGCGCAGACCGCCAAACGACTCCCCAGGTCCCCCGCATGCCAGTGAGCCTATGTTCGCGTAGACCTACTGCGCATGCGCAAGTCATGAAAAGTGGTCCCAGACCCCTCGCATCCCCAAAGTCAAGAAAAACACACAAGATTTTAGATCCACACATGATTTTTAATGGACGTGTCGCGAATGAACCTAATTACATGCGGGACGTGTGTGACGCCCGAGTGACGTCACGCCCTGGAGATTAATAAGTGAACATGAGAAAGGGTGTTTGCTTCCTGGAGGCAGAAGTCATGAGCGTTGGATGAGGCCATTTGATATAGTGGTTGAAACCTGTGAATGACCACGGTTTGATTAAATAGATTTTGAACGTGGCAATGGTGCCTGAAAACAAATTAGAGGAGGGGTGGTTAGATCCAAGAAGCAAACTGGATGAGATACAGTCGACCATTGGCACGTACGAGACGATGCTTTATTATCCAATGATTGACTGGAAAACAAACAAAAAAGACTTGATTACATGTGGGACGTGTGTGACGCCCGAGTGGTGTCACGCCCTTGAAATGTTTGTTTACAATAATATTCTATTAAAATCCAGTCTTGATTATAATCAAAATGGTCTAGGATCCAGTGACAGGCTAATAAAAAATCAATATCTTGGTTTGAGTATCTAGGAACCAATGACATACTGATAAAACAAAAAAATCAATGTCTGAGTTTGAATAAATGGAGAAAACTGGACCATCCTTGATGATTGACAATGCAAAGTTTATGAGGGATAGGCCAGCTTCGAAAAATCATGAGATCTTGAATAAGCCAATGAGAATCTAATGAAGAACGATAGAAAGTTGATGAGGGATGGGCCATCCTCGAAAAATCATAGCAAAGTCAATGATCCAATGGGATTCTAATGAAAAAAAGAATCATTTGAACGAATTGGTCCTTCTTTGAGGATAGACGAATCAAAGTCTATAAGGATTTTAAGGATCTCATCATCTAGCATCCGATGAGAATCTAAATAAAAAAAAAAATGAGAATGAACATCCAGCAGGGGTGGCGCCACCATGCAGACCTCCCCCTGCCGGGTGTTCAAAAATCCCATCCTGTGCTTTCTAAAATATGACAACCCCAACAGGGTTCATGGAGGGTGTTCACGTGACGTGAATACGTCCAACAGCGTTTGCACACAAAATACAACTGCTTCATCAGATAAGCATGGTAATATCTGGTGTGATTCTCTATTATCTGGGCAGTGGCTGAAAAAGGCAAGGGATATAAATAGCTCGTATGACAAAACGAGTGTCTGAAACGAAAAACAACGGATGGGTGTTAATCACGGGGTGGATAGCCCATGCCTTGCATCAACTCACACCAATAACAGGGTACATCTAAATCGCGCACACGACGAAAATTTAAAAAACAACGACAACAGAGTAATTTGAGGGGTCTTGGATAAGGTGGAAGGGCAACCCCTGTTCCAGTGTACCATTGCGTGACACTGCTACAAAAACACCAGGCCGCGGAAGTGCCATGAACCCTGTGGGTGCTGAGAATAGTGTGCGAATCTACGAAAAAAATTAATACTCGGTCTTCATGAGTAAGAAATTAAGGCGGTCTTGGAAGAAGCAACTGTTGTAGATATGACTATGTGTTTCTAAAAAAATTCAATAATAATAAATGTCTTTGGTATCTCGTCCAAGTAAAAAAGCCACACAATCTCGGAACCAGCGACCGCTTTTGAGGTGTCTACGGGTATCTAAAAAGCAGTACCATCACAAAACTGAGTGAATTGTCGAACACTATGAATATGGTAATGGTGTTGCAAGGAAAGGATCCACCCCCATTCTTCTATGGCGGAAATCACATCTGAAAACCATAAAGGCCAATCACAGAAATCACATCTGAAACGTTTTATGAAGACTGATTACACATTTGAACGGGATGTATCCATCCCCCATACTCTGTTGACGTGACTAAACGTTTCATGAAGATGGATGACACACCGGACAGTGCTATAATGACATCGTAATTGAACGGGACGTACCCAATCTCCATACTGGTTTAACGTGTAATGAAAGCCTACAATGAACGATGCAAAATTCGGAAAAAATTAGAACGTAAAGAGCGCACACTCGGAATCCAATGCAAATGATCACGTAGAAGGCAATGCGTGCCTAAAAAAAATAGTTCATAAGAAAATTAATCCTCTAAAAAAT